ACGTCCATCCCTCCAGTAGATCTATTAGCTGTGATTTAGATCTTAGATCTAAGCCAAAAAGATTCGTTCAGAAGCGAAGAGAACATTTTACTTTTATTATAATTATCTAGGCAACATTAAGATTCACACTCCTTTGCCAAAGGGAAGCTACTCCCGAAAGCATTTGTAGAATTAAGGTTAAGATTTCTAAATGGTAAGCTTTTGGGCGACTGTGTTACATCAGAGACGTATATACACATGGCTTTATTCGTCTCTGGTTAGATCATTTTACTTGTTCTGGTGCCAAAGGAGGTAATACAAGAATGATTTAATGTCATGTGTCCCAGTAAATTTTCAGAACCTTAACTTGTCAGTATCAACCTGACAGACGTGCATACACAATTGATACTGGGTGATAATATTGATGAATTTGATAATGTTGAATTACTTTGCATGAATTTTACTTGGTCAACGGGCATCTGAGGTGAGTAAGACATTTTATTTCACAGCTTATATATGTGACCTAATGGTAGAACTATATACAAAGAAAACAATTAATATACAATATGGATCGATCAGTTATCGAAGGAAATTGTTAATATAATTAAAAGTGTAACAACTAATAAATGTTAATTTAAGAAAATGAAATCAGTACAAAAAAAAAAAGATAATAATTCAAAAAATTTAAATAATTTAAATCCAAACGAAAACAAATGGTTTACTGTTTTTCCCCCGAAAGATGTCAGCGAGTTAGTAGAATTTGAAAACATGATCTCCAAACCCATTATCACAAAAAAAACACATTTTCGACCGCTAAGAAAAATCACAATACTTCTACCCTTCTTGTTCTTGAAAAAAATAAGATTCTTTCAATCAATATATAATCAGTTGCCAGAAATAGATTGTAGTGACTGTACACTTTTATCGTCATAAAAGACAATGTGAAAATAATCTCTAGTATTTGGAAGAAGGAAACACTCATTTAAAGTTTAGTATGACAATTAAGAAGGCCAGACAAAGTAAACAATTATAATTATGATGATTAAGTAATCGTAATTTTAAATTTTCTGAAACGTGTAAATACGGTTTAAGGTAAATATGTTTATTAAGCCCTCTATAACATTACAAATACAGCCTTTGGTTGCAAAAGATATCTATTCTTTAACTAGCATTTAATGCAAACAATGTCAGAATATATTCAAAATAGAAGGCGCTATCAAAAAACTAATTAGAATAAATGGTTCTTCAATTTTAATCACAAACGTCAAAGACGTTTATCTAACTCTGAAAATACAAACGACATAAGAAACTAAGAAAAACAAAGTACTAAATGCGCCTTTTAATTGTAAAGAAGAAAAACAGACAATGAGAAATTCTTTATCGCGTTTCGATAACAACTCGAAAGAAGGAATAAACCGCATAATCTTCATCACTGAAATAACAGGAGTGCCTTAATCAGATTTTCCAGAATATATGCGTGTGTTAAAAAAAATGTTCCAGACTTATATCGTCTGTGAAAACCCCCAAAGATGAAATGATAAAAATAGTTATATTGATTAACAACAGTGCTCTATGCTATGTAACAGGAGAGTAAAAATGAAACGGGGTCAGACCAGGGTTCGAAACCTGGACACCCGAAAGGTGAGTCACACAAACGGCCAAATGAGCTACCCAGTTACTATTATAGTCAATTGATCTCTTCCGCTACTGTTTTATAGAACGAAAATATTGGAAATCAGTTAAAGAAAGTTGCGTAATTGTCGTAAGGAAAATCGGAATTAATTAGTGTATGGACGGAAAATACAACGCAACGCTCTTGTCTTATCAATTTGGTAAACTAGATTTATCACATACCTGTTGAATCTTGTTGTAGGAATACAAGCAATTTTCAGACCATGAAATACAACATTCTGTATTGAACATGTGCAATACGGAATGTTGTATTTACCTACTAGCCGGAACTACTTTTTATGGGAATCCCCTTGTCATGGCGAACTGAAATGTTCCCGGTATTTGCAAAAAATATCAAAGTTTATAAAATCTTTATATCGATCTCTACCAAATACGGAAGGTATGTGATAAAAGCAAGACCACACATTTGTGTTTTTCTAACTCATTTAATGCGCACTCGTGAATATATTCGTCCGCGCAATAAACTCGTGCTTTCTGATTCGTTAGAAATGCATCTGTTTTAACTATATATAAAGTAAAACCTTGGTACATGAAGTTTTTTTTTAAATGTTTTACTTTCTCTTGGGCTTGAGATTAATATCAAAATAAGATTTCCTCATGGTTTGAGATGATACTTAAATTGGGTGTTCGGTATAATATTCTCGTATTTAATAAGTGTCAAAATATGATTTGCTAATGATGCAATATGATATAAATACAATTTCCCTCATCATAATATCAAGAAAGGTACTGTATACGTAATGCATGATGATATTAAATAGTTCAATTTTCTTTAACTTCTCCGTCATAGACTTATCAAATTTCTGTATGTAATTCAATATTTTTATCCAACAACATATACTATGCAATTCAATACGTCTTTTTAAAATGTTTGATTAATACATCATAACGATCTCTGATTTAAGTACAGAAGTAGACCAAGGCCTTAAACATGTTTGTTGGTAATAACGATGAGGGTAATACTCAAATGTAAATCATGTGTATACCAAGACGCCCACATTTGAATAAAAGCTTTCCCCGTCCTTTTAACGTTCCATTTAAGCACTGATGGGGGTTAAGTGGTTTTAAATAATAACGTTGGCATAACGGGAGATGTGTTAAATTGTAAAATAAATCTTAGAGATGTTGTTGATGATTAATTGACACGATTCATTAAGAGAAAAATATGATAGCGTCAACGACGAGGAGTTTCGTTTGCATAATTTCAATGCCTTCTCGGATCGGTGACAGTGTGAGGTAATCAATGTACTTTAATATATGACGTGTATTTCGTAGTCATCACCATTTTAAACTATCTGTTAAATTTAATTAGAAATAAAGTATCCAATTTCAACATTAAAAAATCGACCAACATATCAGCGAATATTTATATATTTCCTACGCCAAGTGGTTTTCCGAAATTAATTACGTGTATCGGAACCAGCCGAGGTTTTAACCGAATGCGATGGGCATATGAAGGTGTGCGTTACGGGTTTCATTTTCGGGTAGATTGGTAATCAACATGGCCGCCTTGGTGTATAACTGATTAACATATCTATGTGTGTAATAAGCCAATGTGATGCCAACGGAATTAGCGATTATAGGGGCAGTTTTAGACACCTCTGTAGCGGTCCCGAATACAATTGGTTCTTTTTCTTTTTGTCTTTTTTTTCTCTCCATGGTTTCTATTGGCCCGTTTTCGTATTTGCTTGAATTTTTATTTTGGAGACGCTGTAGAATTCTTTTTCATGTGGTTTTATCTTCAAACTGATAACTGGAAATGATAAATGTCTATTTCATTGGTGGTTAACATGTCGAAACAGGTAATGACTACATACTCTGCTGGATGTACGGTTTTACTTTTGATATGTGCTAATTAATTGTATATTAAAATTATACACTAGAGGACAAGTGTGAGCTCAAAAAGTCGATTTAAAAAAACAAATCCGGAACTGAAGAGACGCCAGAACAAAAGATCGGACATTATAACCGACTGAAATTAGAGGCAAACCAGGTGTTCCTAAAGAGCGAGCGTTTCCTGTCCCACACGTGGTATCGTCATGACGTCAGTCGTTAAATGTGGGGAAATAGATAGGCAACTTATGATTTGAGATTCAGTGAACATGTCTGTCATCATGGCATAGTCATTAAAATCTTACAGTTGAAATCAGATCACTAAAGACGACAGAAACTCTTCCTCAGCGTACATTTAATCGTCTACGGTAGAGAACCTTGGTTAAATGTTTTTTGGCCGACATGACACTACGCTCTGGAGTTCTGAATCAACTGTGACATGTACACTTAATAAGCAGAGTAAAGGGAAGCATAAATAAAATACAAGCTTGAAATATCAGGCATTTATAGGATACGTGTTTTAAAATGCCAAGAAGGCATCGGCAATTTTTTTTTTTTTCAAAATTGTTTTAAAAAAAAATACAGTGAACCCAACTGGTTTACAGTTAAATGTGTTCAAAAATCTTGCAGATCGCCGATGCATTGTTATGATGTGTACAAGCTAAGGTACCAGCATGGGGGCGATTCTTTAGTAGATATGAACTTACAGGGTTGTCTTCTTCATGTACGTTATATGAAATGATTTATAAATACACTTCATTCATATTAGTTTTTTAAATTGTATGTATGACGAATGTAGCCTCATGGAATTCCATTAATTAAACTTGCTTTTTGTAAAACAAACGTTGAACAGCTGTGTTGTTGTGCTAGTCGTTCCGGAGCCTCTATATTACCACATTTTAGCTGGTGTTTTTGCTTTATGTGTCTGTAACAAGATCAACAAGATCATACATTTGACGAAACATTTATTTTCTTAACGCTTTAAAATAATAAACATGAAACGTAATTATTTGATTCCATTTCCTCCGTTATGATTGATACACATGATATAAATCAATGTTCGTCAATTTCACATTATATAATCAATTGATATTCTCATATGAAAAAGAAAGAGTATACAATTTGATGTTTTTTTGCAATGTGAAATACTGATTTTTTAATGCCATTTACATATCTTATATCTCATAAAAAAGAATAACTACATCCTTTTAACGTTTTCGTTACATCGAAGGTCAAAACATTTGTTAACTTGGCTAATGGTATGGAACAATCTTAACTGGTCTATTTTAGCTGTTACTGTAAAGTACCCTGTTATCTTGCTTAGTGTGTCAATAAAAAGCTGATTCGGCATACGAATGGCCTTAATTGAAATGGCAGAAATAATTAAACGTGGTTCTCCTCGTATGAATTACATGGTAGTGCTTGGTGATTGAAATGTACATTTTTACGACCAAAAGGTAACTTCAAATAAGTTCTTGCCCATATTTTAACACACGCTCCGAGTATGTCGTCCAGATAGTAAGGTGGAAAGGAATCTATGCAGTGTTTGTAAGTATCGGGATTCTCCTCTTTAAGATTTACGATAAAAGGAAACTAGTATTTGTAAGTAACGTTTTTATATTGATACCAACTGGATTGTTTCCTGCTTCATTTAATTACCATAATTGTTTGCGTGTATTGTTTCGTTTTTCGATATAAGATCTTTTTTTTTTTTTTTTTTTTTTTTTTTTTTTTTAAAATTTTTTTTTTTTTTTTTTTTTTTTTTTTTTTTTTTATAAAATTTGTATTTCGCCGTATCAAATAAGAGACAAAGTTCTGTATAGAGCTTCAATTAAAATAAATATGTTACTTCTTCTCTTAATGTAAAGGCATGACAAAAATAATAAAAAAATAATATACAGTACAATATCATATAGTGCAAATAACAAATGATATAAACATAACGTGAGCTCCCGTGAGACCTTTTATAATTTGTTTTCAGAGAACATTTCCAGTCCATAGCGACAAATATGGAGGGATATTTTCGGCCTGTGATGTCCCCTTTTGTCATTGGAATGCTGCTTTTCACAACAGTTTTGACCCAAGGTAAACAATCAATAACGTGATTGGATAATATGCTGACATATTTCAATCCGAATGATGAAATATAACTCATTTGGGGTGATATTTTTTATGAAATACATACATGGGGCACGTATATCATTCCCCCTCTGATCTTAGTCAACCATTTATATAGACGTATTGCAAATGCCACTTATATTTTTCCAGCGCCTGAATTATTTTGGGATTAGAGTGACATTTGTTCTATATTTGAATTATAAATGTTTGTGCAAACGACGGCTTCTTTTAATTGATAAAAAGTTGGGCAAAATATAAACGAAGCAAAGCTTTACACGGAGATCATTGATAAAGTACAATGAGAATAAGGCCAATGTTTCCGAAGGGTAAGCGTTTTCTCTTTTATCGGCGACACCTTCAATGTAAATCCAGGTCAAATACAAGTAATGTCGCGTTCCCATAGTACAGACTGGCGCAGTGTAAGAGACAAGACACACTAATTAGCATAGTATCAAGCCATTCGGATTGATATGTATCGCCTGTGCCTTGCTTTGACCATCAATGCACATATCAGAGAAACTAACGTAAACGCAAAAACCTAAGGTTAATGGAGAAAGGTAGGCTGCATCCAGCATTTGACACATGGGTTGAGATGTACTACCTAAGATGCATCTATGGTCCAAGTTTGGTTGGTCTAACACTTATACCTTCAGTGAAACTAACTTCAACGCAAAAACTTAATGTTGACGTCGACGCCGTCGCAAGAAAAGCAACACCATAGTATCGCTTCCGCTACTTCGTGGCGGCGAGACAAAATCTAGATCTGTATGTCTCACAAGGAAATATAATAACTCCAAATGAGACCATGATAACGACCATTAGATTTTACCATCGTTTTTGTACCAACCTGCATCTCTTAAAACACTGCGTTGTTTTGTTAGTCGGTATGTCAGAGTGGCCTTCTATCGTAGACATTATGATATTCGGAGCGAACCATTGAATACCGTAATGACTGCGACATGTAAGCACCGTGAGATGAGGGAGGAGGGACGCCACTATGGTGCATATATGAGCAGATCTAGATAGCACATTTAAAGTTGTGAAAAAAGTTAACAAAGAGTAAAAAAGATTTTCCCCCATGCAATCAGGCTTCACATTTATATTCACGTAAGGTAGATTATTTTACTACGTTGCAAAATATTTGGCGAACAATTGTTGTATTGACCTACTATATCGGTGTTGAAAGGGATACGTTTTTATTGAGCGATATCTGAACTTTTAACCATTTATATCAGATAAATGTTAATACGTTTATTGTAAATAAGCACAGCATTGTTCAATCACTTATCATAATTGTACCACATTTATAAACTAAGCAATTTATGATGATTTTTGATGATTTAAACAAAATGGAACTTTGTGGACCAATTACTGAATGACTGGTACTAAATATTTGATATAATGTTTTTTTTATGAATTTTGTGTTTAAGTAGAAAATATATAATGTGCTGTCTATAAGTAATATTCAGACAAGTATGCTTACTTTACATTTTGTCCATCTATAATGCCATAAACTATGAAAACAAGGGTAAATTTGAGGGAAAAAGTGTACGCAATATGAATATTATGTTAACAAATATTTTAATACATTGTAACACACATTTCTTTTTTCAAATTAAAAACCCCCCAATTATAATCAAGTTTGTCGATCATTGTCTTCATAACAGTAGACATTTACAAAGGAATAAAAAGCATGGATCCCAACACAGTTGTCTCAAGTAATAAGAAATAATAAAACATAAATACAGTTTTTCATGCAAATCTGCAGTAGCACAGTAAACTATAATCTCTGACAAAATAACGTCACTTGAAATATATTTTGCGTTAGTTTGAAAGAAATATCGATAACAAGCAATTGAACTAGACGCATTTATAAAAGCGAAGTATGATAATTAAAATTCATCCGTTAGCTTTTGTTTCTCGAATCAAAACCGTCTTGTCTATCGTATTAATAAAGACTTGTGCATTTCTCGAACAGGCCATTCGGATTGATATGTCTCGCTGTTCCCGTTTTTACCATCAGTGCATCTTTGGTGCAAGTTTGGTTGGTCTAGCACTTATAGTTTCAGAGAAACTAACTTAACTGTTGATGGAGATGCTGACAAAGTCAATGGACCATGAAAGGTAGGCCACATCCAGCATTTGATGTATGGGTTGTCATGTACTACATAAGATGCATCTATGGTCCAAGTTTGGTTTGTCTAGCACATCTACTTTCAGTAAAACTATGTTAAACGCAAACACTTAATGTTGATACCGTCGCCGGAAAAGCAACATCTTAGTCTCGCTTCGGCTACTTCGTCGCGGCGAGACAATAACACTCATCTTGTCAATCATATAGATACAGACGTTGCATATTTTACATGATTTTGATCTTTATTGTGCCATATTGTATACCTGACTCTGTTACCGTATCGTTTCTTTCAGATCCCTGTTTAATACAGAACCCCGATGCCGTGCCAGATCTGGAACTGAGAGGACCCAACACCGTCAACATTGGTTTAGAGGATTTATTCTCTACAAACACTGATTGGTACAGTGGTACCAGTAACTACGATATGGTCACCACCTACGATCCGGCAGAACAACATCCAGTGGACAAGTGTGGCTCCCTGTTTCCTGTTATGATCGTAGGTATGTAGCTGGACCTCTTAATAGACATTTTAAAATTATTTAATGGGAAATATATATATATATATATATTATTAATTCATGTATATATTGGGTTCTGTCAAAATGGGATTTGTTACCCAACCCAGTTCTGTCAAATCTGTCAAAACAGGAAAGTATCCTCCACAGTTGTTTTTAATTAACTGGCATAATGCATATGCATAACATTAAAAATATGAAGTATACATAAACATGTATGATTACTGAATATTGTCCTTTCTGTTCATCATATTTTGTTAAGGAATTCTTAGTTTTGATTTTTTTTTATTGTCTTAAGGAAATTTGTCACCCATTATTCAATATTTTCAATTATATGATCGCAAGATATTATAATTAACTGGAACATAGATACGTCTATATATTCTGGTGTATATTTATATTGCAGGTCCGAATTCTACCATACCTGACAACAATACACAGCAGGTTGTAACGGTTAGGTATTACAACGTGGCGTCTATGACCTGGGACACAACCGATATCCAGGTCAAAGACTGTGGTAGCTACCGAATGTACCAACTGAAGTCGATACCAATGGGGACATACTGCTTCGGTAAGTTCCGGATTAATACTTCATAAGGGGAGAAAGACAACATGCTAAGCATTTTATCTCACATATCTTGTTCAATGTACTCCGGTGGCTGGAGGATATTTGAGGCACGGTAGTATAGTGGTAGGACGCCGGGCTCGTGACCGAAGGGATGCGGGTTCGAGTCACGGCACGGCACTGTGTTGTATCTTTGAACAAGATACTTTACTACGCTTGTTCTAGTTTACTCAGCTGTAAATGAGTACGTGGTTGGGCAGTGTTGAATGCTAGTCGCTTTGAGACGACCAACGAATTTGATTGTGATAAAGCGGAATATAAGAACATCGATTATAATTATTAATTACATATATTATATATGTACAAGTGTATGTATAATGTAGTACGTGTAAATGGTTTAACTTGAAGTAAACTTAGCACGGTCCGATTAATTTATTAAATGGCAAACTGTCAAGAGCAAGTCCATCTTTTCTATATCGTACTGTCAGTGTGGGTGAACACAGGGAAAGTATCTTTAATTCGACCACTTCTCCGATGTAACGACACTTTTCATTGGTTAATAACCATTTATTATTGTACGATAGACCATGCTTGTGCGTGTATCATTTTCCAACAGACCAACGCTCTTCTATAAACCTCCACTGCAAATGTAAACAAGAACGAAGTGGGACTGGTTTCCTATTTCAATGAGGGTACACGCATTACATTGTGTACGTTGAAAGATTTGCTAAAGGACAAACACAAATATTCTATAGATCTACATCAAACCTGTAAAGCTTACGGGCAGAATGTTCCGCCGAACATGCCGCGAAGGTGACTTAAAATTGTGATTGAAAATTTGTCAAATGCTGGTTTCATGTGTTGACGAGCGAAGTCGACCGATTGGTGGTTTTGATTAATTGTTTAATTGATTGGAATAAATATCTTGTATAAAGCATGACGCCAGTGCCCATTGTTTATCATATGTCGAACAATTACAACTGAAAAGGAAAACTCCTTCCCAGGTTAATCAGATAAAATATGACACCTGACCACAGAGTCAGATAAAAACATACAAGTTTTTGTGAAAAAAGACATAAAGGCGTCACGTAACGACTGTTTGAACGCGCAAAAGAACAGTCTTATTTAGACAATAACATTATCTTAGTCATCTTGCTTATTATCGGCGTATGGACACTAAGGTAGTCGTGAAAAAGACTTCCAAATAAATGTAATCAGCATATGTATTATGGTGGAAAATGTAACTCGGGACTCGAAAAATAAATTCTGTTTAGGCGGCAAGCGGCCTTCGTTCATTTTTTACAAACATTTTCTCATCCTCATCTATTCAACCACATGAACACTATACATACATGTATGTTTATAATGTCCTAAATAGGTGTTTTGTCCTTAATCAAGTCATTCATAAGTAACATACATTTGTTAAAATCAACTTAAGATAATCCAGTCTAACATCCATCTTACAATGGACAACGATAAAATGCTAGATAAGCTGTCGTTTAAACGTCGTTATAAATGACGGCGATTAAAGAGAGGCGGATAAAATAAAGAAATAAGCATTACGGTAATTCATTTTGTGATTGTTATAACCAGTATATAAGCATATAAGGCAGGTTTGACTGCATTTATATATCAATATTTCATTATTACTATTTAATAGCCTGTTGACAATTTAAGTCATTTCGGGTCAGTGAAGTTATGGTCATATAATAGGTATTTAAGGAATGAAATATATTTTTCAAACATTCATGAGGTTATGATCTCCTGAAAGTTGAAAGCACACATTTTATTTTACAATTTTAAGACCTTGAATTTTCCGATGCAAGAATAAATGAAAAAAAATTCAGGTACTTTTTTCTATTTATACATGGGGGCAACGCAGTAGAGAGAACAGTGTGTTCTCGCGTTGAACGTAAAACTTTCCTTGCAACAGCATGACAATAAAACAAAAAGAATATAGTTCATATTTTTGAAATTTTATTTGTAGAATTTATACATGTCGTATATTATTATCATATCCTTTACAAACCTTTTTATCTTTAAAATCAAGCCAATCATGTTTAATGTTTATTCATATTACCATAACAGAAACACATCGAAAGCTGTTTCACGGTGGACGTGAACTATGTACGCCCTGTGATACTACGTTGTAGTGTATCAATACGCGGTGGTCAGGTCACCTGTGTTATGCCATTTTCGTCAATGGGTCCAAGCATACAGATTGTTAATATATAAAGCTGATCCGTTGGTTAGGTCTGTCTTTCGTTACATAGTTATATACCGGCGGTCAGTAAGGCAGGTTCGACAATAATTATATAAACGTGGTACATACAGGTGGTCAGTAACTATATAAACGTGGTATATGTCGGTGGTCAGTAAGGCAGGTTAGACTAATTATATAAATGTGGTACATACAGGTGGTCAGTAAGGCAGGTTCGACAGTAATTATATAAATGTAGTACATACAGGTGGTCAGTAAGGCAGGTTCGACAGTAACTATTTAAATGTGGTACATACAGGTGGTCAGTAAGGCAGGTTAGACAGTAATTATATAAACGTGGTACATACAGGTGGGCAGTAAGGCAGGGTCGACAGTAATTATATAAATGTGGTACATACAGGGGGTCAGTAAGGCAGGTTTGACAGTAATTATATGAATGTGGTACATACAGGTGGTCAGTAAGGCAGCTTCGACAGTAATTATATACATGTGGTACATACAGGTGGTCAGTAAGGCAGCTTCGACAGTAATTATATACATGTGGTACATACAGGTGGTCAGTAAGGCAGCTTCGACAGTAATTATATACATGTGGTACATACAGGTGGTCAGTAAGGCAGCTTCGACAGTAATTATATACATGTGGTACATACAGGTGGTCAGTAAGGCAGCTTCGACAGTAATTATATACATGTGGTACATACAGGTGGTCAGTAAGGCAGGTTAGACAGTAATTATATAAACGTGGTACATACAGGTGGGCAGTAAGGCAGGGTCGACAGTAATTATATAAACGTGGTACATACAGGGGGGCAGTGAGGCAGGTTCGACAGTAATTATATAAATGTGGTACATACAGGTGGGCAGTAAGGAAGGTTCGACAGTAATTATATAAATGTGTTACATACAGGTGGTCAGTAAGGCAGGTTCGACAATAATTATATAAACGTGGTACATACAGGTGGTCAGTAAGGAAGGTTCGACAGTAATTATATAAATGTGTTACATACAGGTGGTCAGTAAGGCAGGTTCGACAGTAACTATATAAATGTGGTACATACAGGTGGCCAGTAAGGCAGGTTTGACAGTAATTATATAAATGTGGTACATACAGGTGGGCAGTAAGGAAGGTTCGACAGTAATTATATAAATGTGTTACCTACAGGTGGTCAGTAAGGCAGGTTCGACAGTACTTATATAAACGTGGTACATACAGGTGGTCAGTAAGGAAGGTTCGACAGTAATTATATAAATGTGTTACCTACAGGTGGTCAGTAAGGCAGGTTCGACAGTACTTATATAAACGTGGTACATACAGGTGGTCAGTAAGGAAGGTTCGACAGTAATTATATAAATGTGTTACATACAGGTGGTCAGTAAGGCAGGTTCGACAGAAATTATATAAATGTGGTACATACAGGTGGTTAGTAAGGCAGGTTCGACAGTAATTATATAAATGTGGTACATACAGGTGGCCAGTAAGGCAGGTTCGACAGTAGTTATATAAATGTGGTACATACAGGTGGTCAGTAAGGCAGGTTTCGACAGTAATTATATAAATGTGGTACATACAGGTGGTCAGTAAGACAGGTTCGACTTTAATTATTGGAATATGGTAGCTTTATACAAGTGGTTTATTTGGCAGGTTTGTCTGAAGTTTTATAAGTGTGCTGGCTATATAGAGGTAGGCGCTAGGGGAGGTTTGCCTGCACATTGCATCTGATTAATAAAAGAGATTTAAATTATCAAGTCCATTAGTTAATTTACATGAAAACCATCATATATGTACTAATTGAATTAACGGAATGTACAACTTCAAGTGATAGGTTTCTAATAAATTTTAAAACCACTTGTCACTGTTCAATTAAAGATGGACTGATTTACGTACCTGGTACACCAATGCCATTCCCTTTAAAAATATTAAATAAACATTAAGAAAAATGACTCAACTCAAAAAATCAATATTGCCAATCTTTCATGTTTAATTAGACACATATATGAACTTGTCATGATAAATTGACATGACACGTATGTAACCTAATCAATTTTGATAAAAGTACACAATTTATTTAGATATTCTAAGCATCTTTGTTTTTTACACGTATATTATACAACATATTTGGTTTAGTTTACTATAAATATGATATTTTATACATGCATTCGACATGCTGAACAAAACTAAGCCGCATAGTTCATATCAGAAATTTAATATTTTGTTGCGATGGTCTGAGACACTAACCTCAGTTTCTATATATGAGCTTTATAGAGATGTACAGTATTCACTAAAGAATATCACTATTGTGTTAGTGTATGCTGTCTTTCCTTCTTTATATGGTGTCTCTAGTTCTAACTTTGAGGTATTAAGGTAAAGCGAATAAAACTTACATATAGGGATTGGTCGGCGGCTTCATGTTTAATATGGATATAACCGATTTGCGTTTATACCGACATGAAAATAAAAAGAAACGCCGTTCAATCCATATATTTACATTTTTACTACAGAACAGTTGTTTATTTATTTGTTCGTTTATTTATTTGTTCGTAAATAATTAATTTATTACTGTGTTTTGCATATGCGTCGTCCAATAATTAACAGTAGTCATTTTAGCGTTTGACGCAGGGGCATTGTCCATGTTATCCAAAGCTAAGCGACAAGACTCTCATTGAACAAGGTTAATCTATGTCGTCATAAGTAAACCACGTGTTACGTCATGAGAGGTGTTGCTTTCATACGCAAATGCAATGCATTTCTGCTGGAAATGTTCATATAGTCATATAGTGGGTTGCAGTACAAATATAAATATACATTCTTGTTTCATATATATAATATATACTTTTTCTTTTTCAGCAACCAACGCGAACGCAGGTAAGTTATCCAACGCATTTATCCTCGCAATTATTCCTTTTACTGAGCTAACACCGCGCCCTTAAAATAACAGACAGTTTTCTTGTTCAATCAGATATGTTACTAATAGTTTTATATCGTCACAATGTACACAACTAGCGAATACTCGGATACTTATCAAATTGCCTTCGTGTAGTTATTGATTTCATTTTGTTCGTGTTGAGATATTTGTGTTTCCTCTATTGTTGCTATTCTTTCTATATAGTTGTACTTGTCTCTCTTTAATCCAAACCACTGTTTACTAGCTTTCTTTTAAGAGTCAGACATGTGTGACCTTGTTGTATTGATGGGCCATTAATCTAGTAACACCAATCATGTTTTAGAATTTACACTATGCTAAAACATTAATTTAATCAGGTGCAGATGGGAAGAAGTTCGTCATATCAATTATCAAATGACTGAAGTCATCGCAACTCTATGACTGCATCTTCTTGACAAACCTCATCAGCGCCATTGTTGTCAAAAAAGTCCGGCGTCATTTGATAGTGTGACGTCGATCACATGTGCATTCTGGATTTGCCAAAAGCTGCAGTGCCGCAGTTAAATTGAAAGAGTCTGTTACTTTCTCTTATACGCAAATATATATAACACGACAGTTCGAAATAGATATGATGAAAACAATCATATTTAAAACCAGAACACTGTTAATGTATAGATAAATCGATAAAGATGATATTTTAATCTATGCCTAAAACATCAGAGTTGAAATAAGTCTATTCTTTCTTTTCCAGACCTATGTGTTCGGAACGACATTCCGGAGGTACAGGACATTTTGGACCGCATTCCTATCATCGATGCAGCATTCATTGACGACAGTAACTTGACAACAGGCTGGTACAAAAGTTCCCTACTAGATATATCTCAGCCATTCCTTGTTGACAACCAAACCTTCTATCACTGTGGCGGATCACAACCAATATATGCCGAAAGTAGGTTCGATTACCATTTCTTTCTTTAGATATGTACCATTTTACAGTAGATTTGTGCTAGCGTTAAGGATGTAAAGTATGATAACAGATTATATCAGTGATTGGTGTGACTGATCTATCCGCTGGAAACCAAAACAGTAGAATTTTCTAGAGTAGTTTTACATGTACATACATACAGTAAGCTTCATTTGATTTCGTTGTTTTGTATAGATCTGTACTGGAACTGGGTCAGGGAATAACCGCTGAACGGGTAGGTCAGTTGGTTAGAGCAACTGTATTGTGATTAGAGGTCCATGGTTCGAATCCCGGTCAGGCCCTTTGCTTTTTACTCCCAGAACACTTTCGTTGATTTAAAAAAGAAAAAATCATTACTTTTCATGAAAGTTGCACAATGTATTGGGTTCTTTTCGGGAATGTTTAAAAAAGCAAAGTTAATGTATTGAAGACAAAAAGGTTTACAATTAATGGTAATAGTTTAAGGAAGTAGCATAGAGAATTTTAAAATGATTTACATTTCTTTATCTTGGATACAGGATTGATTTATAATTTCCTGTGTGCATGTGTATTGTGTCAGGAATTAATTATCATTCATATGAATGGAGCGGACTCTTTTAATATGATCAAAATGTCACAGTCATGCAGCAACAATTTGTTAAAATAAAAACCACTGATAAAGTCATATGTGTTACATGTAACATTGTTTACATACTTAATTAACGTATCATTTCACGGAAAACATTTTTCTGAAGTCAGTATTGTTTTTATATTTATTTACTTATTCATTTATCTATCTATTTAACGATATACCTTAGTTATATACATGCATGACCAGCACACTGATTGGCAAAGTTCATATTTATTCTTTACCCCAAATCTTACAAACCTTTCCATTCTAGCAGCAATTTCTTGGTAAAACCTAGCTATGCACGTCGGAGCTCGAGTCATGTTGATGACATCAGCAGCAAAATTGTTTTCTTTCCAGATTTATTATCTCAAATGTATTTTTTTTGTTTGCATCGTGCGTGAAATTGTTATTAAATTTTGTTAAAACTGATATCATTGCAATTCATTTGATGTCATTTTGTACTGTGAGTGTTAACATAGGACATTTTGGGTAGGCTGGTCAACGTTACAGTATTATAGCTTAAGTGACGGTCTTTTTATTTGTTATATCTAACGGGTCACTCTATTCAATACTTCGTAGGTCCATTACCAGCTGACGACGGGATGGTGCACGATATGAATTTGACTGTTTTCAATATAAGTGGAGGTGATCACTCAAACGTCGAGATCCAAGTGAGGAATTGTGGAGGGTTTCGGCTCTACCACCTCTCGGCCATGGTACCCAGCGGTGCGTCCTACTGCTTCGGTAAGATTATGATTTTGACAGGAAACACCCATTAAAGGTGCAAAATGCCACACAGAAAACGATCAACCTAGTTTTGCGTCTGTTATATGCTGTGTTTTTCCCTTTTTGCTATGTCCTAGGATTCTGTTAATTTCTTTGTCTACACTTTGAGGTAAAATGAAACGGGGACTATGAAATCGATCAGGAATTGTATTTGTCCCAAGCTTAATTAAGTCGTATTCGTTTTTGTGAGGGGAATTACAAAACTTTTTGACCTTCTAGTTTGTGCTAAATAGATATATCCAGGTATTTACATAAAATAACTCCAGCTAGAAAAAATAGGCACTGATGTGCAATCGATGTAAGATTTAGTGTAAATTTTGCTAATCTTCATACCCCCGCGCTAAGTAATGTAAATTCCTACTCTAAATAAAAAATGGAGCTACAACTGATGAAACTTGTGGATAAGCTAGTGACTGAATGTCGTATTTGTAAGGTACTTAAGATTATAACTATTAACTACAATAAGACACTTCGTATTTAATTATATTCAGTATATATACAATATGACGAAAGAGATTTAATTTCCAAAGTAACCGTTCTTAGGTAATCGCCACCTAATAGGTATTAGGCATACAACTGCTTACAAAGTTCTATGGCTATAGCCTGCACAGTTTTACACATTCTCCGTACTTGTGTCTAACAATGGGACATTTTGATTTAAGAATGACTCTTTTGAAGGATATTAATGCGTGTTTCAGTATTTCAAACTTGTTTATATGTCGGTAACGGGAAACTTTTTTATTGATGAATTCCTCTCTTTTTTTCAACAGATGTTCCCCATTCAACGGATGGTACGTAAACATTATGCTGAACGATGTTCCATTACATAATTCAAATATACATTGAACGGCCTTCAAAAAAGGATACCAATTTCAAAGAAAAAGCGATGTTCTAGAGCATCCTTCGTTCAAGTACACAGTTAAGCAATGCGTAGGGATGAACGTTGTTTACAAATGTCAAATTTTCTATTCAATGGAATGTTGATGCATTACAGAATGTAAGTATAAAGGGAACAATGCTCCTTTACAAAATGGAAGTAAACAGGGGAGTGGTGCTTATTACAGTATGTAAGTAATTAAGGGAACAATGCTCCATTCAAAATGTAGGTATATAGGGGACCAATGCTCTATAGAAGGAAGTATAAGTGCGTTTCCCAAAATACATTTCAGCTACAAGGTTACGGCCAATCTCGGGGACTGGTGGTCCACACACAGAGTTAACAATCGTAAGCTTGTGACGTATACAATCCTATCGATTAAAGAAAAGCATCATGATACGTTATTGATTAATTGACACATTATTATACATTTTAATTATGGTAGTAAAATCGTTTTACGGCTACTTAAATTTATAATAAAATAACTAGTACTGTCGTTTCGTAGTTTTGTTAATCATTTTATGTTGCAGAAGCTGCGCCGGGATATCAACCACAAGTGGCGATTGACATCTACCATGAGTGCGTGAATGGCACAGAAAGGATAAATGCGGTGTGTGAGTTTGAACCCGAGGCTGTAAACGACACGTACTTTTACCTGATCACGTGGTACGTCTCCGGTACACCCCTCCAATATACGCAGCAGATTACCGCAGACGAAAGAGAGATGGCTATATTAACGGATCAAGATCTCGTCAATCAGGGATTCTACCGAGAAGTTGAGGTGGGACCATCCAACTGTTATTTTTAATGTAATGACAGCATTATTGTTTATTGTGATCACAGCCGTTTGTCTAACGTATGGATACCATGACCAAATGTCTAGTGATGGTTACCAAAGATTATTGCATGGTAGATTGAGAAACCGTTGTCAAATGTGTCTTAATTTATCTGGTCTTCACTACCAATTGTCTACTATATAGTCATTACAATCAATTGTCTACTATACGGTCATCACTTCCCATTGTCTACTATTAGGTCATTTACAACCAGTGTTTACTATATGGTCGACATTACCCATTGTCTACGATATAGTCACCACCACCCATTGGCCACTATATGGTCATCACTCACCCATTGTCCACTATATGGTCATCACTTCCCATTGTCTACTATTAGGTCACTACCAACCAGTGTCTACTATATGGTCGACATTACCCATTGTCTACGATATAGTCACCACCACCCATTGTCCACTATATGGTCACCACCACCCATTGTCCACTATATGGTCCCCACCACCCATTGTCTACTATATGGTCACCACCACCCATTGGCCACTATATGGTCACGCCCAACCATTGTCCACTATATGGTCATCATCTCCCATTGTGTACTATATGGTCACTACCACCCATTGTCCAATATATAGTCACAACCACCCATTGTCCACTATATGATCACCACCAACCATTGTCCACTATATGGTCGCCACCCCCCCTTCTCCACTATATTGCCATTTCTTTCCCATTGTCCACTATATCGTCACAACCACCCATTGTCCACTCTATAGTCACCACCACCCATTGTCCCCTATATGGTCATCACTTCCCATTCTCTACTATTAGGTCACTACCAACCAGGGTCTACTATATGGTCGACATTACCCATTGTCCACGATATAGTCACCGCCGCCCATTGTCCACTATATGGTCTCCTCCAACCATTGTCCACTATATGGTCACCTCCACCCAATGTCCACTATATGGTCATCACTCAACCATTGTCCACTATATGGTCATCCCTTCCCATTGTCTACTATATGGTCACCACCACCCATTGTCCTCTATATAGTCACCACCACCCATTGTCCCCTATATAGTCATCACTCACCCATTGTCCACTATTCGACATTACCCATTGTCTACGATATAGTCCCCACCACCCATTGGCCACTATATGGTCACCACCACCCCTTGTCCACTATATGGTCACCACCGCCCATTGTCCACTATATGGTCATCATTCACCCATTGTCCACTATATGGTCTTCCCTCACCCATTGTCCACTATATGGTGACTACCACCCATTGTCCACTATATGGTAATCACTCACACATTGTCCACTATATGGTCACCACCGCCCATTGTCCACTATATGGTCACTACCACCCATTGTCCACTATATAGTCACAACCACCCATTGTCCACTATATTGTCACTACCACCCATTGTCCACTATATTGTCACCACCACCAATTGTCCACTATATGGTCACCACCACCCATTGTCCACTATATTGTCACCACCACCCATTGTCCACTATATGGTCACCACCACCCATTGTCCACTATATAGTCACCACCACCCATTGTCCACTATATAGTCATCACTCACCCATTGTCCACTATATGGTCACTACCACCCTTTGTCCACTATATAGTCACCACCACCCATTGTCTACTATATGGTCACCACCACCCATTGTCCACTATATGGTCACCACCACCCATTGTCTACTATATGGTCACCCCCACCCATTGTCTACTATATGGTCACCCCCACCCATTGTCCACTATATGGTCACTCCCACCCTTTGTCCACTATATAGTCACCACCGCCCATTGTCTACTATATGGTCACCACCACCCATTGCCCACTATATTGTCATCACTCACCCATTGTCCACTATTCGACATTACCCATTGTCTACGATATAGTCACCACCACCCATTGTCCGCTATATGGTCACCACCACCCATTGTCCTCTATATTGTCATTAATCACCCATTGTCCACTATATCGTCACCACCACCCATTGTCCACTATATGGTAACTACCACCCTTTGTCCACTATATAGTCCCCACCACCCATTGTCTACTATATGGTCACCCCCACCCATTGTCCACTATATAGTCACCACCTCCCATTGTCCACTATATGGTAACCACCACCCATTGTCCACTATATGGTCTTCACTCACCCATTGTCTTCTATGTTGTACTCACCGACCATTGTCTATAATGTCCTTTTACAGCCCATTACTTCATATATGGTTATCATACGTATGTAGGTCAATTTCTATAGATTTTATTATTATCAATATGCTTAATAGTCTTTAGAGTGATGCTTGGGAAGGTCAAGTTCCCTCATTTATCTTTGTATGTCTTCATATCAGTAAGAAAAATCACCTTCCTCACTTTGATTACATTCGATAAATGCAACAACCAGATTTTATTCTTTTTTAAATATGATTTGCATGTAAACTGAAATAAGATATACATATCATTGTCTATAAATAACGTTTTCGCAGGACCACTTATGCAACCATTCAAATTAAGCATAGTAATATTTTTACGTGGTTTTGTCTTCAACTTTATTATTGAACATAAAAGAATTATTCTGAATTATCGTGTAATGTTTTTTAACTGCACTACATGTCTTTTAAGAGAATCATTTTGACTTGTTCTTCAATTGCAAAACAATTCTTACACAGCATTAAAATTACATTTTGACTTGGCGCGAATTCGATAACACCGAAAAATTCTGTTGGAGCACACAAGGAATGTTTTGACCTGGCCATGCTTAATTGTTAAACAATACTATTGAACATAATACGAAACAAATTGACGGATCACTTAATAGGATTTATTCAGGGTAGCATGGGCACAATATATTTATGCATGGTTTATATGCATAACGATTGACATTGAGCATTGGAATATATTTTATACGTATCGTATAATTGTATATTTCCTAACCCGTTAGCTATTTTCTAAATTTGATAAAGGCTTCAGTCGAATATTTGTTTCAGCTGTCGTGTGGAGTTGCTGTCCGATCAACAGCGACGGGAATTGTTGGAGAATTTTTCACAAGTAGCAAAGTCTTCTTCGGACTAAAGGTTACCTTCATATATTATGAATGCATATCCTATGCCATACTTATCCTATACGTCAAAATGAGGTCAAAATAATTGTAACTGAAGAGGTTGTTTCCGGAAAGATATCACCCAAGCATTTGATTTGAATCATGTTCAGAACTTACTACAAGGAATTATCATAACTTGATTTTGTTCTTAAAATATTGATGATAGGATCTTACGTTATACAGTTAGTAATTTTAAAGCGATTTGGTCCATTGGTGATATTATCTTACGTTATATAGTTAGTAATTTTAAAGCGACTTGGTCCATTGATGATGGCATCTTATGTTATACAGTTAGTAATTTTAAAGCGACTTGGTCCAATGGTGATTGCATCTTACGTTATACAGTTAGTAATTTTAAAGCGACTTGGTCCATTGGTGATGGCATCTTATGTTATACAGTTAGTAATTTTAAAGCGACTTGGTCCATTGATGATTGCATCTTATGTTATACAGTTAGTAATTTTAAAGCGACTTGGTCTATTGGTGACGGCATCTTACGTCATATAGTTAGTAATTTTAAAGCGATTTGGTTCTTTGAAGATGGCCTCTTAGCTGGTTGCAAAAGCCCTATAACTAACTACGGATAATAATTTGTGAACCGCTTTGAGACGACCTACGAACTAGGTTGTGATAAAGCGGTATATAAGAACCTCGAATTATTAATCAATTTTATTGTAAACTATACATATAGCTGAGGATTGTTTTAATACTTCATTCAGATCAAAAGAACGAAAATTGAGGAGACGTATACATGTTTGAAATAAACATCGGGATAAGATTTTAGTATACGTAAAGGTCATTTCATATAAATATATTCTATTTCAGACAAATGAAACATCAATTGAGATTGAGCCCGGAGAATTCCACGATGTTGTCATTTTCGTCAACACTCCTATCTCTTGCGCATGTGGAGAAGAGTTCTGCAATATAAAGCTGTTTGTGGACGATTTTAGTGTCCCAAATACGCCGGTGAACCGCAATGAGGATATGGCTTTCATCGTAACAGAGGGTATTGAAGATGGTGAAGGCGGCTTCGTATCCGGAGTTATCGTAGAAGGTATGTATATTTGTACCATAAGCAATGATGATACTTTCACAATATGCCGAGCAAATGTTCAGCGGTGCATTAAATCAAATTCTTTCACGTTATTCACATGCAGATATGTTTGCATTTTATCATCATCTTAATTTTTTACATTACTACAATACGTTTTACATTAAATTTTGTTTCAGACTTCAAGTTTCAACGTTAAGCTTACGATGTTCAATACCTTCGCAAATATTGTCAAAATACATCTATATAAAGACATTAATTATAAATTGTATTGATGCCAAAACTGGATGAAGGACTAATAAAGAATGATTTTACTGCTACATAAAGAGTCACATTTGTCGTATATATAGTTATGCTTGTAAGCTACATTTATCACATACATGATACGTAAGCTCATTTTTAGGTAAAGTCTGGTTTTACAACTTTTACATCTTGATTATTACGAAATCGGATTCGTTTGTTGCCCAAATGATGGTATATGTTTATGTATGTTACTTGGATACATCGGTTGTCTAACTAATGTTATAGTTCTATCAGCTTTGACATACCGAGTTTAACACACCCTTTTTATCATAGCCCTGTCGCATTTGAAACATTGAAGTTTAACTATAAAGACTTCTGATAGGAGCTTACATTTAATGACCTCTCTTTGTTATGACTGCTACAGAATTAACAGTTTGTAAACAGCCAACCCACTCCAGGCCACGTTGTCCTAGAAAATGCAGTTGTTGATAGCTGAAACTAACCGAACAGTTCTTTACCTCTATGTTCTTTTAACCACGATCTAGACATTGCTATATATGTTTTAGTTCATTTCTTACTGTATAAGGTTATTCATATTCTATTGTGTGTAGCATTACCATTAGAAAGAATGCTGGTTAGCGAGAAGAAACGTACAATCGAAACACGTGTTTTCCATATGGTAAGCGAGAAAATAAATATATGATACACAGATATCTTCATTTAGAGTAATCAGTTTGGAAGTATGCAATATTTTTTTTTTTACTTTCTTCACGAACAATGTACATCTTAAACGTGTCGCAACGTGTCGTCACAGCGTTGTATTGGTACAAAAATATACAAATCGCTCACTACGTCATAGCTTGAAAAAGGGACCAATCGGTCTGAAAACGTTGCGACATGTTTAATACGTACATTGTTTGTGTAGAAAGTAAAACTTTGATATCATATGATATACTGACTGAAATTGTTCTGGTATATTGTTTGTCTGGGAACTAATATAAGAAGGATCAGTGTACTATACATTAATGTGGTGTTAATTTAATTACATGTAATATTTGCAGTAGAAGTATGATTGTGCGGGTTAATGTTTTTAATATTGACACAGGTCAGGGCAGTACCCCTCTGCGAAGACGCCGAAGTTTCAGCCCAAGTGACGGACCAACTCGTCTTGGCATTAAAATAAAGCACATGTTCCCGTACCGAACAAAGAATTACATAACCAGAGAGAGAATACCTCTGATGTTGCGGATGAACACTAATAGAAACGCATTTTGGCCCGACGGAATTTTCGGTTGCATTGATGTAAGTTATATATTGTTTTAGAAAAATATATTGCGGTTGTGATCACTCACTTTTCATTATTTTCCTCACTTTGAAGTGATCTTAGCTCACAATAGCTTAGATTGAGGGAATAATATCTGCACTGTATTGATATTATCTCGAACTGTAATGATATTATCGTGAACTGTTTTGATATTATGTCGAACTGTAGTGATATTATCTCAATCTGTGGTGGTAATATCTCAAAACACTATATTCTTATATTGTATTTCTAAACATTTTCTTCAGGTTGGTAAGTATGGATTATTAGAAGTTCTTTTTTACACAACCAATACAATCTTCTATGTAACGTTTAGATGACTAGTACGTTATGTACACTGTCACTAGATTATCACATGTATAAAAACCATATGAAACATATGAAAAATTCAACACGTATTCAATATCCTTTACACAACATAACATTTATTACATGTATATAAAACATAACACGTCATAAATACCTTCATACAACTTGTCATTTATTATGTAATGTCAAAACACAACGCATATCAAATACCAATCCTACAGGTTGAGGATTATCACATCATTAAATAAACAATTCATTATACTTTCAACACCAGTTCACGCAACTTAATATTTATCACATGCATAAGCAATTAAACACTTTCAAAACAGCATACACGATACTGAACGTTTTACAGGCAATATCTGGTATTCTAGCTTTTAAACATAACGTATTCTTTTTGGATTGAAGGTCCGGGTACGTGACCGGCCTGAACGAATTCACTGGAGGAAGAAGGAATGCCACGCTGTCTGTGACCCACACATGCTTTCGTTTGACGGCAGGTATTGAACGTTTTATAGAAACCTAAAATATGACTACACCGATAGCTGAGTATTTAGAGACAGTGGCTGGGTGACAACGAAGAAGTAACAATGAAATGATATACAGCCACAAACTATTTAGGGAAAAAAACATTTTTTTATCACGATTTCGTTTGAGAAGTGTACCCACACAGCCTGATCGCTATATATTTCGAAAACATATTATCAATGACGTTGTATATTCCATCCATAGTCTCAGTATTTTTGAAAAATATTCACATATCATATTCCAATTTCTGATTAGTTCTCGTATTGTGCTTTACTGTTATCCCGGTCTCGAGCTTATTTGACACTAACGAACCTTAACTTTTGTAGGAAATACGAGTCACAGGATGAGGGAGAATTTTTGATGTATAAGTATTGTCCCGAATATTTCCCGCATTGGTATCCTAATTCAAACGTCAACCTTAAGGTAAGGTTGTGTCTAATCCTATACCGACATTATTTTAACACTATATAGCTATAGCAAGGACTGACCCTGGTTTTACGAAGCGCCTTCGCTATAAGTACGTTCTTAGCTTACATATAGGATTAAGTTTTACCTTTTATTTTAGAAAACACTCTAAAGTTAGAATTTCTGCATTCCATAAATTGCTTTAAGTCAAGATAAGAGTTTCAGCACTACGTCATAGATTATAAGGTATTTCATTTTTTCAATCAATGCTTTAGGAATTATATCCATGAAAATAACTTTGATTTCGAAATTGAGAGCCCCTATTGTCTTTTCGATATTTGTTTTGAGCTTTTGAAGAAGGATTAAGATAATATCAATAAAATAGTATAAAATAAATGATAAAAATAATAAAGTAGTGTTAATTGAATATTCATAATTTTCATTTAAAATGATTGACTTTTTTTGTTGGAAATTATATGTATATCTAAACATATGAGCACTTTCCATAAGTTTGTGAAGCCGTTTAATTTAGAAAGGTGTTTCCAAGGTTTCAATACAGACGAATACACCATAATCTGCAACACATCTTAGCAATTCTTTACAAGTAAATTCCTGTGCGCATGCTTTTTCTATATGCAAATTAGATAAATCAGCGTAACTCTACATACCATTGGGTGTAATAGTATTATAGGCTAGTTATTCGAATCATCCACTATTTCCCGCAGGTTCATTTAAAGACAGTTTCATGTCGGGGCGACGGCAACATTCCGTTTTGTCCCTGTGGAGTAGCCGTGATGGCTGGCCATGATATCTACGTGGTAGACACATGTGGTGATACCCGCTACCAAGGCTTCACCCGCTGTGAGGATCACATACTCCATGTAGAAGCAACCGACACCCTAGTCAAAGTAAGTATTATAAGATGTATAGGATCTTACACGAGTTTCAATTTCATATGAAATGAAAACGGGTGCAAGATCCTTTTTATCACATAATCAAGATTTGTGGCATCTATTCGTATGAAACGACAATTTTAATGCGACCTTGAAATGTAAAAAGCCGCCATTTTTGACTCCAGTGCGTAAGTCTGTGACGTCATATACTTGTCCAAGTCGTGATGTCACAATTGAAACAAATGAAACTTACTACCAATAACAAGGCTAATAGGTAATATTACATGGGTTAATACGCAAAAAATATGACATAGGTATATTCTCTGGATAACACAGTACACTATGTGATAAAAACAGATAGACAAAATTAAAGTGTTATAGAAAGGGAAGTAACTGATCAATGGAAGTGTTGTGGACAGGTAATAGGCGGTTGTACATGTCAAGGTATAAAACAGATGTAGAGAGGTAAACTACAGAAACATAAATATTTAACAATGACATTTGGCCAGTTGCATGCTGGTTTAAATGGCTATCCATTTTTTAAATGAATGATCTTGACTTACTTTCAACGATACAAGGTCAAATATGTTGAAATATTTGACCGACTTCTTGTGAATATCAAATAGGCCTAGGTTGATTATATTTGGCCAGTAGCGAGGTAGGATAAATGACTATCAAGCTTGAATCACTTCGAAGGTCACAAGACTTATTTTGTTAAAAAACATTTTAAAGGACTCTCGATTTATTAAAAGGCAGAGTGTGATGCTATTTTGCCTGTAACATGCTGTGATAAAGGGCTATCAAGTTTGTTTAATTGAATGACCCGGCCTATTTCTAAGCAGACAGCAGTCGATTCTTGGATGAAGGGCTAATTTTGTTCAATTGCATTACCTTGACCTACTTTCAGGGATAAAGAAGTCAAATGTGTATAAAACTTGAACAACAATAAAGAGTAAAAACAAAACCACATAATTTGTAAAGTTTTGTTTAGTTGATTAAAGTAATTTAACCTGACCGTTTTGGAAAGTTACTGATGTGAAATGAATGACAGGTCAGCGATACAGGCCTATTTGACATCTTATGCATTCTTTTGTCGCTTAGAACCTGTGAATAGTCACACGGTGCTGGACATAGACAAGCTTAATTTTAAAGAAGATGTCCTTTTCTTCATATTTACAGTGTTCATTTTTTCCAGAATAATTATTATTAAGATTTGACTTCTTGAAGTTGATATCTGAGTAATCGATATATAAGGGTAATAAACAAATATTCAGCTGAGAGTAAATTTAATACGAAGGTTAATTGTGCTGAAATCACGAAATTGCCTTTGATATAAGCCCTTACTTTTAACAATGATAAAACACTAATATTACTTATTAAAAATGTCATGAAATATTGCATCTTGCATAATAAAGGATACATGTAATACATCATATTTTGATATGTTGATGAAAATGTATATAATAATTGATGAATTTGGACCGATGTAGAATTTGATGATTTTATAGGTGTTATTGAGAGGAAACTCAGTGATGTGTGTCAGATAAAAGTATGTATTACATTTATGTTTTTGTCAAAATATGTTTTATATATTGAAATTAACAGATTAGTATAACCCGATCAAGATTACTATGAAATGTTTATCCTTCAGATATGGCTACCCCATGGAACTCGTGTGGAAGCAAGAAAGACTGGAGGAAAGAGTTCATTTCAACTGTGGAATGTGTGGATATATCCGTCTATACATGACATCCACAGCAGCTGTGGTTTGTGTGGATCTTTAGACGACAACTGTGGCAATGATTGTGATGTGTTTAATGGCCAGACATACCAAAGTCCTTATGGAGACGACTGTAGCTCACACGGACTCGTCAGAGAATTTACGGAAAAGTTTCGGTAGGTATTGACAACAAATGTAAATTGAAAGTTGTACAGCTTTCAAAAAAACTAAAACTAAAAATGTCTAACCGTAATCATGAGGAAATTGATAGGTAAACATGTAGCATTTTTTATGGATTTGAGTGTTTCTTTGGGCTTATTGTGGTGGCTGAAACAAAATATTAATGAATGCGCTAACAAATCGCCATTGCTCCGAAATAAATCATATTTGTAATCGATATGAGTATCATCATTTAAATTTCCCAAATAGTTCAAGAATATCTATAAATATGCGTTAGTAAAACATAGCTTTTATAACCGTTTTAATTATAAAGCTGTGAATTTTGTAATCTTAGTTCTCTGTGTTGTCGTTTTTTTTTCTTTTTTTCTTCTTTTCTGTAAATGTAATAAAACATGGGACTCAGTGAATGGTACCCCTTATAAGTTGGATAGAAAAATAGTTTCCAAAACAGAGTCTTATGTTGTTTTAAGTGTGTCCTTCTTTCTCCCGACCAACACCCAAATCTTACACACACCTTTACCTGGATGTTATCCGTGTGTCCTGCTGTCTCCCTCCCACACACCCCAATCCAGCACATACCATTGCTCCTGATTTATGCAATCAGTGTTCCTATCTTTCTCCCTGCCTAACACCGAAATCTAACATGCCATGCCCTGGATGTTATCCGTGTGCCCTTTTTTTTCCCACACACACACACACACACCTTGCCAACACACACCTTGCCCCTGATTTATGTAATCAGTGTACCCTTTTGTCTCCCTCACAAACACACCCAAATCTAACAAACACCTTGCCCATGACTTTTGTAATCAGTGTGCCCTTCAACCTTACTCACACACGCAGAAAACTAACACACACCTTGCCGCTGATTTATGTAATCCGTGTGCTCTTCCTTCTCCCTTACACCAAAATGCAACATTAGGGTGTCTACCTTCCTCACCCAACATGACGGTTTTGCCATTCATTTTCTCTGATTAGAGGGCATTAAAAAACTGTTACATTGTGTGTATTGTTTTAAATGCTTGACATAGTTATGGTTTACCCCTCTACCATTTCAGAGTAGCAGAGGCACAGACACTTTTCACGCCATTAAAATACGATAACATTGTCTACATCAATCCAGCCCCCTTTAGACCAGATAGTTCAAGTTACTGTTTCTGTGGACACCGACAGTGGCCCGGAGATCCAGTCTCGTGCTCGTGTCAGCAGACACATTGGTGGGGTGACGTCAGAGATACGAAATGCGACGAATTCTTAGAGATACCGCCAAATCCGTTACCTTCTGTCAAACAACTTTTCGTTGGTGGAACCGGAGTAGTTGTTCCCGACCCGGTAGAAATCTTATCACTTTTGGCAAAGCACGATTCGTTATGATAGAAAAACTCATGGATACATTTATTTTGATAATGGATTGGTTGTGCGGAGTACTTTAATATCTTTTCACTGCTGTCACATGGAAGCACTGGTACCTCATCAGCACCTGTTTTTTTAATGTGTCTTCTATGAATATTATGACATTTTTATGACAGAAATACTACACGACGTTACAATATCGATAAAGATACAGCCGTTATGTTAATATGAAACACTTCTTATGTATCAATACCATTATTTACTATAAAAAATATGTATTTCTGCTACAAGTTTCATCCGTATCAACCATGATTTATTATTTAAATAATTTTACTCGGCATCATGCCACAATATCTGAATTTGTATATTGCATTTTGGGAGAAACAAAATATTCCACTGCTGATCATTGTGAAGGGTTTTAATTTCATTTGTCATAAAGAAACTCCCAAGTTCACCCTCACCCATTTTTGAGGCGTACTTTATTCTCTAGAATAGATATAAAAAAACGAATTTTTCATGTATCCTCTTAAAATGTGGATTATTGTTTGATGAATGTTTTGTTTGAAGGCGACACAAATTGAGTGTGACACTATGATGGCCGAACTGAGGGAAACATTTCTTAGTTGCCGTGCATTTGCAGAACAACTCCAAAACTGCAGGGCAGATCTTAAATTAGACGTAAGATGTATATTACAACAATACAATTATAACATTTTGCAGAAGTTAACGAAAGGTCCTAAAGCATTCTTTAGGCTATATAAATGAATTTCAAAGTCTACTTAATAACAGAAACTGTTTTGTCTTTCTTAAAACAATACTCGTTAATTAATATCAATATTGGCATTCACCAGACGTCACGAAGATCGGTTTGTAGGCTACTTAAGATGTGCTGATTTTGCATTTACATACGCACGATATGATATTTGTCAGTAAAGCTGTGCCATTTATATACACTGTAAATGCTATTTCAGCACAATTTAATGTTATATCTACCATTTTTGAAGTACTCTATGATATTATCGAAACAACAATCTGTTTAATAAAACTCAGCGTATAGTTCCAATTTCTGTATGTATCGTATGTTCTTGTTAAATGAATAAGTTAAGTCCACCTTAAATGGAGGTCAGTAGCATCTAAAGTTTAGGACGTCAAAGATAATGATGACATTAACACATGGGCGATGGCATTAACAGTTTAATTTAATGCCATCTGAATTTGGCAGGATTATATAGAATTTTACTCATTTAGGTTGATAACAATTAATACAAAACCATATTATTCCCTCAGTGAAATTTCTTCAGTTGTATTTTTCAGTCTCTTTCATGTGTGTCTTAGATTACAGAAGACTAGCCCGATACAAAAACCAATTAGTGCTTATAACTTATAAAGGTTTGATTGGGATAGTGGTGCAGACATCGAATATTGTCAAGTCTGTCGTGTTTAACCTATAAATGTCGTCAGAGTATAAACTGTGTCATATGACAAATAAATGACTTTCAATTTTGTCGATATATCTCAGTCATATATCACCATTTTAGGTTCACCAATTTAAGTAACAGTGTTAGAAACAAACAAATATAAGACATTAGGTAAGAAAGATATGTGACTAAAATGACAAAAACGTTAGCAAAATAACACCGCACTGTAAGTGAAAATATTAACTTTTCAGCCGAATGCAGGCACTGACTGGATAGAAAACTCCAGACAAATCCTGGAAGCCTCATGTCAAACAGAGAACGCAGCAGAACGTGAGCCGGTGCTGGCCATTACGAACTTATGTCCGTTAGGCTGCGGTGACAATGGGCGATGTGTGGAAGGTAGATTATCTTGTTCATTCTATATATTATATGTTAATAAGAAATATGTCCAATATGTTAAGTGTATATTATACTAATCTAACCATCATATACAAACAAACAAATATTTCTTACTTTACATCAGATGCATATATTTATAATCAATATGTTATTTGAGCAGCATTATGAATTTCTTGACATTTAATACATCTGACCATTACAGCGTTGTCTAATACTGTGCATTTAATGTCAACAGGCAGTGCTTTAAAAGGGGAGGTAATCATAGAAAGTTATTCTTAAACAGTATGTAGCAATAATCCACATCAAATGAAGGATTGTTGTACGAATTTAACGATTACGTAATGACGGGTGTTACTTGTACCTGATGTATAATTTTACATGTTGATATTAATAAATGTATGTCATCTATATTTAACTACAATATTTCATTTGATAGTTCTATAATCTCAAAACTTTCGGTTCTCTATTGTTCTTCAGAAGAAATCATGATAGCTGTCTTACTCTGAGTAGAGCAATGCCATAATAGTAACCAGTTGTGACTAGAAATTTACTTACGATCCTCAAATCCCGCTCTTTTATACATAATTTTCATTATTTGTCTAATTTAGTTTTCTTATTGTTTGCCTCGAATACTGGGAGCAGCACATGTGTTTATGTTGTTGTTGTTGTAATTGTCGTTTACTGAAAGTTAAAACTGTGAATCAGGAGTGTCTTAGTTAGACGAACGTCTATTGGCGTGGCCCTTGTAAGGCTCCACAGGATTTACCACTTCGACTTTACACGATAAACAACGCAAGCCACAGCTAGTGTTTACTTACTATAAAACAAGTGTCTTGTCAATATAATTAAATAATAAGATCATTAAGTTTGCGTCTGTAAAAACAATAAAAGACCGATTGCATTGGTCTTATTTACCTGGAACAGCAAATATAGTTGACAGGTATGAGTGGGTTGTTTATACAGTTCTATGTTTTGTTTTTCAAGTTTCAAATTAACTGAAAGCACTCCTTCCCTTTGGAGGTGACAAACGACTCTACATCGCCCTTTCTCGTTTCTATATATCCTTATCTGCTTCGCAACCCAAAATGTACGATGTCGTTCTGACTCATCATATGAATTCAGGAATCTTAAAACAATAGTACATGTATGTAAATTCAAGATGTGTAGATTCAAATAGCAAAAGTATGTGTCGGACGAAAGAAAAAGAAAAAAACCCACCCCAGCAATATTAATAATGAGATTATGGAAATCCCGGTGTGCGTACTGTTTTCTTTTCCTGGCTGCCGTTTTCTTAACAGAGCATTTATAACATTTATTCAATTTACAGCATGAAACAAGTTTTTCCAACTTACGTTAATCACTCTCGCTGTTCCGGATGGAAATGCGAGGATTTCGGATAAAGCCGGAGATACCTAAAGAAAACTTAAGTTGTTGGGCAGGTGACGTCATATCGGTTAAATAAACCTTTTCGGGCGTCCTTCTCCTATTCTGATTTGTCAGCCTTTCTAACATTCGGAAAGTATCTAAATAGAACAGCATCAAGCTCATTTACTGGAATGTTTGCATGGTTACAATTTCACACACACTAACCAAATTATCATTTGCAAATTTCCAGCATCGCAATTCGTCTTCCTTGCTGTTCCTCTTTTGCTCGATATACAATACATGTGATTATGATCAACAAATCGTTCCTGTACCTGTATTGCTTTGTGTGTTGTTAAATACTTGGTTAAAAGAACAACACTGTTACGTCGGCACGTTGTAGTTATAGTAACACTACCATGTATAGGCTTATTGGCTTGGGTTTTAACGTCTTGGCAACAGCTCATGTCAATTGAAGACAGGTGCATAGGAAGCCACTACCGACAAGAAAAAGTAGTAAAATGAGTAAAATAGATGTAGATCTCAGGTGTTACCTTGAGGACAGTAGATTAATGTTGGTCTCTTCAATTGCCTCTAGGCCGAAGAAAAAGAATAGGGGCAAAAACAGTAGTCTCTTACGAAATGCAGTGTGGTATAGTAGGTTTATTCTGTTCCAAGAACCTGCAGGTGTACGAAATATTTAATCACTGGCAATGACAACAGATAACCAGACACATTCATTCAAAAGTTGTTGTGTAATGATTGAGGCCTGGTTTAAATGTGTATAACAGAAAATTAAATTGATTTGTCGCTTGCTTGGTTGAAAGACAAAGCTTGCAGGCGGACATAAGTTGGTCCAGGTAGTTAGCAAGATATGTTTGATGTTTTTTGATCCCCATTCACATTTATAATTTAAACCAGGTACATAAAAAAAATGTTAAAATAAAATAAATTTTACTAGGGGAATGCGAGTGCAATCCAGGATTCGGAAACTCCCGTTGTGACACAGCGATAACAGACCAAGTGGAAGTACTTGGTGTACGAGATAATTTGTGTAACAGAAGGCGTCTCCCGTGTAGAAGCTTCACCATTAAACCAAGGTCAAGGGCATTCGTCCCCGAGTTTGCCTACACAGCAAGCATCGATGTTAGATCAGTAAGTTTGAATTAATCTTCATCAAACGGAAGTAACAAATATAATTCAAAATAATGTTATATTTAATTGAAAGTGATATTCACATCACATCGCCATTTTAATGATATTTACACAAAGTCCCTGCAATTATTTCCTTGTTTCGTCTTTCACCTCACTAATGTTGATAGATGAAAAAAGCCAATCAAGGTCATACAATTTTTTCTAAACATTTTTTTCAGGTTAGTAAGTATGGATTTTGAAAAGATTCATGTAGCACAACCAATAAGTGATTCTATGTCACGTTTCGATGACTAGTGCGGTATGTACTCTGTTACCATCATCAGACAAATGACCAGTGAATCGTATGTACATAAAGGTGTAAAATATGTACGAGCTGTCTACGCAAATTGATGTCGATTAAGCGACGCTGTAAGCGTGTCATTTAGTTGTACCGAAATAACTCGATTCAGCTATGTTATGAAACATCAAATATAAACATTTATTGGTTGTGCTACATAAATCTTTATACATACAATGTTCATACTGCATAGTATTCTGACGTAAATCCGCATTTCTGATAGTAAAATTGATTTCATCGTAAATAATTAAAGGTATATTATTTTTTCACTTCATCTATATTCAGAAAAAGAATATGGTTTAAATAAAAATATAAACTTTGTTTATTTTACAACAATTATGAAACAAGTTATTTCAACTTATATAAATAATTCTTGTTGGCCAGGATATCAGCACGCTAGTTTTTTTTGTGGGAGGAAACTGGCGTAACCGGAGAAAACCTTTGTGAAATTTATTGCTTAATGAATGACAGCTATTAGTTCTTTGAATAGTGAAAATGTTTAAAATGTCATTGCAGATAACGCCGAGTGGCAGCAGATCTGTTTTTGGCAGTGGAATAAATAGACAATGTACTGTGAAGAATTTTATGTGTCTTAGTGTAGACATGCCGCTGATTAAGCCTTCGCCGTACCAGTATTATCGATATGGTACCAGATCTAAACGATCAACAACCAACGAGATAGACAATGGTATCGAAATGGAAGACAGTGACGGGAGACAAAGGAGGCAAGCTGAATCGAAATCATTTGTAGAAGGCCAAGAATCATTCGTCATGGAGTATGTGATCACCATAACTACGGACAATGTGACCTACAGTGACCCCGTCAGCGCATTTAGTTTTGACGCCACCTGTGTAGGGTATGTGGATAACGGTGGTGGTGACGTCACGTTCTTCATCAAGGTAAGTTTCAGAATGCTAGTAATAAATGTCAAGATTTCGATGCACGGTATTGTGTTCGAAGGTTCATAATAATATTATGATGACTTTATTTATGTCTCTGTTGTAAACACTTCAACTGTTGTAATGTCTTTGCATTACCATTCTTTAATATAGTTTTATATTCATGTATCTAGAATTGTTTCATAAAATATTTTACTTATAATTGATGTAACCGGTAAGGGAACAACTATCTGACTTAAATGAAGCTATGCACCTTTCAAGTTGTTTTTATATTTGATTCAATTAGTTTAAATTCCTATATTATCATACGTCCATCAAAGAAACGATACACTGCAGTAAGACCTCGAAATAAATCTTGGTATATAAGGACCTTATACAACAAAAATCCTTTAGTCCTATAGGATAAATAGTTGGTTCGAATGTTGGTAGATATTAATCTTACATAGATTTATTCCTTTTTCAGCCTTCGTTCTGTTTCCTGGACTTTGAGTGTGTGCCTAATGGAACATATCACATTACTGACTGGTGTAGGTTTTGTCACACTGATCGCAACCCGACAGACTGGACAGTAGATCTCGACCAAGCAGGTAAGGACAGGGTATGCGGTCAATGCTTAGGTGTATCAACGGCCAAATTAGTGCATTGGATTTAAATAGGGAGCAGTCAGTCCTGTTTGTGCAGAAAATCTTACTTAGAATGAATCTTATTAAATACACCGCCAATTAATAAATATATCTCTAGCAATTCGGTCACCAGTAGTGCCAGTGTTGTAGAAAAAGTAAGGTATTTTGATAGTAAAAAAGGTCTTAAAAAGTTTGGCGTACATGTGCAATTTTAAACGAATTTTACAATTATGACATCAGTACAACGAAACCAGTAAACAAATGAACCTTTTGTTTAAAATTAATCAGTTGTAAATGGTGAAGTCTTGGTAGCAAATATTGTTATTTTCCTTAACTCATTTCCGCATACAAAGGTCACAAGCGTAGGTTAATGGATGGAACGTGTATCTGTAAAATTAAACATCTGTAGATATTTGTTAAAATTTAATGAATTATGTATTTAAACCCTTTGTGTATACATATAATAAAACTTGATTGATTTTAATGTTACGCAACATAGTAGAAATAGTTCAGTCTCTATCTAACTGTATGGCGACGTATTTACCTTGCAGAGTGTATTGAGGTCAAACTCAGTAAACTGCCAGATCCTGTCGAACAGCCACTGAGTATAGCGGTCATAGCTTGCATTTCAGCAGCTGTATTGGTCGTACTCATTGTGGTGGCCGTCTTCATTCTATACCGCATTTACCGCAAGACCATGTAAGTACACGTGGTTACAATGGCTTACTCGTCTTTATAACCTCTTAGTAGTTACTGTTTCTAATGAAATTATTGCCATGTCATGATATGTCCCCAGTTTCAATTTTCTTTAATTTTGCATTATTTAGCGAGCATGATACTTCCTTGGTATTATTCTATAAGTTAGTAAACTATTTTTTATAACATACACTTCAACTGTTTAATGTTCTATACTTCATCTATATTGAAACATAATTATAAGGAGTTCATACCGGAAATTACAATTTCCGGAAATCGTATGAATAAAACAGCCATTTCTGCGTTTTGTAGGTTCAGTTTTTGTATTGGTTGGTTTTAATTCACTTTTGTGATATAACCATTGTTAAAACATGTTTGATGATTGCAGACCAAAGAATGCAACTTTTGCACAAATCGGACATGCACTTGGACAAAAGAATCCCCACTTCCAGCCAAAGGAGTTCCTACCCGAGAAAAAGAAACACATTATCTGAAGATGTCCTGACCTTTCATTTATCTATCATATGTATCTACCAACTATGCCAGACAGCTACGAATATGATATGTCTTTCTATGGTAAGAAAATAGTCTTAAACCAAACAAAGTATGTTAAAATCATCACTATATAAACAAAAAAACCCCAAAACATCCGTCATATTTAACAAAATATGACCATGTTTGTTCAAGAACTCGACATCTGTTAGATATGAAGTGTGACGTCTTCTTACAGGTTTCCTTTGAAACCTTTAAGCAACTGTTTTGTAAATGTTAATATCTTCTCTTCCCTTTTCAAAGAGGGATGAAAAGAAAATACTTTTAAGTTTATTTTTTTCTTAAAAAAAATTCTTGTATTCTTTTTATTATCAATTTTTGGCTTCTAACACAGAAAACATACCCTATGGCCAGATTGGTTGAAAAGATTTCCTTTTTTTTTCAAAGCAAACAACACTCGTGTCTATGTAAAATGTGTGAATTCCTATTTGCATTGACCAAATAACAACATACTAATAATTCTTTTTATTATCAATTTTTGGCTTCTAACACAGAAAACATACCCTATAGCCAGATTGGTTGAAAAGATTTCTTTTTTTTTTCTAAGCAAACAACACTCGTGTCTATGTAAAATGTGTGAATTCCTATTTGCATTGACCAAATAACAACATACTAATAAGTTTTTTAATCAATAGCAGCGTGTTTTCAAATGGTACACACACATTGAAATTAAAGTCAATTCTTTTTTAACATATGGAGACGGATGTGAAATAATGCGGATGTATTAATTGATATAATTATTAATCAAGAATCATGAAAATATATATATATGTATATTCGGATAATTTTATCATTCTGTTGTGTATTTATATAGAAATACGATAGTCGTCGTTAATTTTTGTTAGTTGTTCATTCGTTGTATAAATGTGTTGTTTTGTTACGTAACTTGCGATTCTATTCCAACCAACAATGATCGATTTTTTTTATTTTTTTAAAATTTATTTCGAAACGAAAAAATATATATATGGATTTGGTTTAAAAACCTCTTTTATCAATTAGAACTTGTTTTTATCACCAAAAACGGCTGTTGCATTTAATAGTAATCATTACGTTTTGAATGACAATTGATTTTAATTTCTAAATTATCGGTATACTTTTATGGTTCAATAATCAATATTCAAGAAGCATGTGTAATTCCTTGTAATGGTTTGGAGCTATTCAGTTGGTATGTTTAGGTTGACCTCATACGTAAGTTTGTAATACGCTATGTAAAGCAATATTAATTTGCCTTATGACTGCTTCGCTCATAAACATTATCTGTTTCTGTAATGTTGTATAGATAACATATTATGTTTAACATATTTATTTGTATTTATGTAATAAAATATAATATAGTTGTAAACTCCTACCTGTTTAAAAAGTATCAAAGAACGTTGTGAATTTATGATTTGTGCTCCATTGTTGGTTATTTTATAGAATACGTAATAACTTTCATAAATATATATATTTTCTTTCTTTGCGTTTAATTGCGTTTAATTAGTAATACATGTAGTTTGAAACATCATAATTATTGCGCTGTTGCACCTGTGTTTCATTCCTGTATAGAATTATAAAGTTATTGCAAATACAGTTGTTAACGTTTGTTTGTGTTTTACGCCCTTAGAACACAGATATGGTAATTCAATATAAGGACTAGTCAGCTTTGGGTGGTAGATGAAAATCAGAGCACCCGGAGAAAAACACCCACCTGCAGCTAGTACTTGGCGACTGCCCAGCGTAGGCTTCGACCCCTGATCAAGAGGTGGAATCGTAGACAGTCACTTTTAGTTTTGTTTATCTCATCATAATGGCACGTGGACAAACACGTCAATACGAGAAAACAATTGTTTATAATTTCTCTTGTTGGCGTGTTTGTCCTACAATGTAATATCAAATTTATGAGATAAGTTATAATATGCACATCATCCGTATACAGACTCTGTTACAGTTTAATACAGACTCTGTTACAGTTTAATACAGGCTGTGTTACAGTTTAATACAGACTCTGTTACAGTATAATACAGACTCTGTTACAGTTTAATACAGGCTGTGTTACAGTTTAATACAGACTCTGTTACAGTATAATACAGACCCTGTTACAGTTTAATACAGACTCTGTTACAGTTTAATACAGACTCTGTTACAGTTTAATACAGGCTCTGTTACATGTACAGATACAGACTCTGTTACAGTTTAATACAGTACAACAGATTTTTCGCGATATTATTTTTACGAATTTATAATCACAGCGAAAAATCCTGTCAGGGTACCACTATAATCCAATCAATCAAAACTCAAAATTGAAAACTGCTCCAGCTTTTATTCTGCTACCTCAATGCTAGTCTTACATTTCGCTTAATCGAAGTTCTATAACGACGATATTCCGAGGCAAATTCAGGATAAACACTTCACAACAGGAACTAAAAATCTGTTCTATCAAATAAAAACTATTAGGTTTATTAAATAACCAATATAAGACAACCCACAAAAAATGATTTGGTGAGTTATCTTTTTATTATATCTATGAAGTCTTATCGGCAAAACGATGGACAATTTGTGATGGACACAGCGTTTTAATGAGCATACTCTAGTAAAAAATGGCCTTATAGATTCCGTCCGAGCGATTCATAAACAAAGCAATTATTGACTTGGGATAGAAATAGGAAGTTGTGTTTTGCGATATATGCAAAGCATTTACAGTGTGTGACATACTTACCTTATTAACTAACTTATAAATATTTGGATAGACAGTAACGGTAAAGTCATTCAAAGTTCTGATAACTACTACACGTACAGAAAACGAAAAGTTATTATTAATAGGATGGGATCCTTCACGGTAGATAAGTACCAAGGCTGAAGTTCCAAGAGGTTTGAGTTGAATGTTTATAATTTAGATCATTAATGATACTTGCTCGGCCAGTAAGATTTTTCCTGTCGAAACCCAATTGACTTTGAAAAAACTCAACGAACAAATAAGCCCGCACAGACAGTAGACAAACAAAATAACAAAAACGACTTTAAAATAATATAGAAAAAATGATATGCTCAAGGTACATTCTGTAGTTTGGCTACACTGACCATCCCTAGTTATATCCCTAGATAAAATATTTTATCTTACAAACGTTAACATGTTATATAAAACACGATTAACCGTTGATAGAAACAGATTACAGATATCAAAATTTGCCTTTTAAAACCTGTTTTAGAGAATGACGACGTCGTGTAAGACAAAAAAAATCAGGAACTTTTTCCGGTTTGTGCCGTCTAGTATTTCTGAAATACACCAATACTGAATATCAGATACACATATAAGCTTCATCTGTCGATAACTTCAGAATTTACCGTTGACACATGTCAATCACTTCAGTGTCAGCCCAGTACATCTGTCAACAGCTTCAGCATCTACCAGCAACACATGTCAATCAATTCAATATCAGCCCAAGAATCTGCCAACAGCTTCACCATCTACCGTCGACACATGTCAATCACTTCAACACCAGCCCAGCTTATCTGTCAACAGTTTCAGAATCTACAGTGCATACCTGTCATAACGAATTGTGTGATGTTACTACCAGTTGGTATGGTTTACAAGGTCAGAAAGAGCCAAACTTACATTATTACAACATGATCTAAGTAATTTAGATGATATTCCATCAACACCTGTGCTTTCTTTGCATTGATTTTAGTAATAGTTTTTTTTCTATGAAAGCAGGCGTTACGTCGCTAAAATCAAATTTTGAATCAGTCGGAATATGATCTCTGATATTGTTAAGGATGTCATTCTCCGTTGTCTTTGAGTCTCCATCGTCACCAATATCAGAAGACACATTTACATAAAATTTGTTAAAAACATTGCTGACTTCAGATTGGTCACTTATAATTATTTCATCCTCTTTCAATATAATATTGTTTTTATGGTTAAAACCTTTACTGGATAAAAAGGGTTTGATAGTGGGTCAGAAGTCATTGGACTTTTTTTGACCTCCAGAACATCTTTCCAAAAAATATGTTCACATTGATTGCTTTCTAATTTTAGTAACAAGATTTCTCTGTATTCTATAGGATTCCCAATTTGTAGTAGTGTGAAATTTCTTAAATTTGTTAAAAACCATACGTTTTTGTATATAGCCTTTCTTAATTTTGCATTAAAAATGGATTGGGGCATGCTCCTCTATAACACCTATGAGGAGTTTCTCAAGGGCCCAATAGATATCATCCACATAATCAAAAACATACGCAGTATGGAATGGAATTTTACTGAGTCTTCACTAAAACGTTTCTCATCAAAATGTTTAAAACTTCTAAACCTAGTTTTATCTTTAGTTACAGGTTGAGTCTTACCTTTAAAAAACAGTACAGATCATGTTGTGCCTGTCACTAAGACAACACAATTGATTCTTTTGTCCCTATGCATGCTTCAGACCGCATTTGGTTTATATACCTTCACTTGTATAGTAGGAGAAAATAAATTCCTCTATTTCCCCTATTGGGCCCCGCCCCTCTGCCCCCAGATGGGCCACACCCTCCTTTTATACAAACATGAGGCTCCTTTGTCCAAAGATGCTCTAGAACAAATTTGGTCAAAATCCTTCAATTGGTTGAGAAGAAGAAGATTTTTAAAGATTTACCTATTTTCCCCCTATTTGGTCCCGCCCCTATACCCCCAGGGGGACCATACCTTCCGTTTATACAAAACTTAGAAACCTTTGGCCAATGATGCTGCAGACCAATTTTGGTCAAATTCCCTTCATCGGTACAAAAGGAGAAGGATCTTTAATGTTTTCCTCTATTCCCCCTAATGGGCCCCACCCATCTGCCCAAAAGAGGGCGGCCCACACACTTCAGTTTATACAAAATTGATTCTTTTGTCCCTAATTATGCTTCAGACTGCATTTGGTTTAAATCTCTTCCCTTGTATAGTAGGAGAAAAAAATCCCTCTATTTCCCCTATTTGGCCCCGCCCCTCTGCCCCTAGAGGGGCCACACCCTCCGTTTATACAAACTTGAGGCTCCTTTGGCCAATGATGCTCCTGACCAAATTTGGTTAATTACAAGGACTATTAGCGTTTGAAAGGAAAATGTTGACGGACGCCGGACGACGAATGCTGCGCCATAGCATAAGAATAATAAAAATTTAACTTCATCAATGTTGATCAACAGTATTCTGTACGTACACCCAATGGACGACAATGCATCCCGTGAAATTGGTCACGAAGCGTGGTCATGCTTAAAAGAAGTCTACAGTTAAAATCACAACCTAGGACAGCTTCACGGGTTCTTGTTTTTATAGGAGCGAGGGCTTTGAAAGTCGATCGAGAGACTTAAGAACAATATGATAATTACTGTTTATTACATCGAGTTGAGGAGGTGTTAGGTGTCACATTTGGCGTTAATGACTCAATGTGTTACATGTACGATATAAGGGTTGTGTGTGTGTTTTCATTTACATAATGTCTTAGTTTTCTTTCACGCTGATGATGATGATATTATTCTTTATAAAATCACAGGTAGATATACAGGTAAAATATCCATGTAAATATAGTACATATATGATACAAACTATAATTACCCTCCCTTTGATGTTTCTACCTATTGTCCTAAAGATGTATGCGTTCAGGGAACTTGCAAATACAAATGTAGACCTGAAAAGACTTTGCCAAGAAATAGACTAGCCAAAAAACAACAATTTAATAACTATAGGACGTCCATATTAAATAACGAATTCACAATGTGGTAAAATTTTAAGACCTTACCAATCACTTGTCGGAAAAACTATGAAAACATAATAATAGGATATATCACTTATTGAATAAGTGATATCACTAAATGGGAATAAATAGTAAAACGGCGCCCTAAACTATTCTGTCTTTTTCAAATTTTGTAACGAACCTATGTGCATCTGAATTCGGAATACAGAAATTCAGCAATAACGGAATAACAGTTTTTATCGATTGAACTTTTTCAATCGATAAAAACTGTTATTCCCATATTGCTGAATAAAACATCACCAACACAATTTTGAATGCCTATAGCTACTACATATGTCTTTCAATGGTCCCTGGTCTTCCTTCGTTGTCTGTGTTTTTAACTTTACTCAACGATGACAGGGTCTCGCTGAACAAAAAAACCAGGATCAATATACGTTATGCCTGTCATAATTATTTTCCTTGCATCATAACATAGGTTGTAACTCCTAAGTTCCGAAATTAAAGCATGCATATCAGCGTTGCCGCCATTAGATAGGCCCTAATAACCTAGTCATTGGCAAACCGGAAACCGGCATCATAAATCCGGATTTAATTTCCAAAATATTTTTCACTCAAACAAAACACGAAAATAACAACATCGATTTCAATTGAATACACTGAACACTTCAGCAATACGAAAAACAAAGTTTGAGAGATTAATAGAATCGTACCTAGGTATGTTCCGTGAACAGGGATTTCAGTACCAGGACCCTGACAGTACTGAGATAATACTAATAGGGAAAAGCCTCGTGCTACAACGTAGTGTAA